TTCGACTGCCATACCTCAATTCTATTTTAAGTAAAGATAATTTTTTTTATTTCATTTTCGTTACTATAGCACAAGTCTCATTAACTCCTGAGAATTACTTCTTCAAAATTTGTGAAATCGATCGATTGTGTCCAACCTAACGAAGTTGATTTTGTAGCCTTTTTCCTTTAAAGCGATAACAAAATACTTTATTTTATTATATAACTAAAATTAGAATCAAGTACACAATTTTTTTCCCTACATTCAACTCGTGTTACATCTATTGGAAGATGCTAAGTCAATTTGTCCTACCTAAGTTTATCGATCATGAACTCAATCAAAAAACGACAAACACTAATTCTTATTCAAGATAAAATAAGTTGAATATTTATGGTTATCCACAAATCAACTTTTCCACATATGGTAGCAATTAACATTGACATAAAGCATTTTACCCACTACCATTGGTGTGACTTCATTAATTATATATTAATTTAAAATTTGTCTTAATATACACGTTAATTGAATCCATTTAGATAAATTATAACATATGGAGACGCGTGATGATCCCCAAATTTTAAAAAAAAATTACTTCGTTTTAGTATCATACGATGCCCCTTTTGGCGGTGGCTAGAAAATTTGATAAAAAAGTCAAAGTCAAAATTAATTTTAACTACGTATTTAACGAGATCTATTAAAAATTTTATTCTTAACTACACCAAACATGGATTAAGCATTTCCGTTTAACATTTTAATATCGATTAAAAATGGACGACCCCACTCTTGTACCCTAATAATTTTGGGCACGTAACTTCTTGTTCACATTTGTCCAATTGAAGTTCCAACTTGCTACGCAATGTTAGCGTGAAGAGATGTTTCCTTTTAGAATTTCTAATCACGACAAATTGTGATAAGTACAAGTGGGAGAGAGCATAGACAATGAGTGGAACCCTAGAAAGTTCAGTTTGACTATGATCTAATGTGTAATAATTTTTTATTAAAAAAGAACATTATCTTGTTAGTTGCTAGTAGCATAGGAGATAAAGACATGAAATATTAACATAGACCTACCTACCTAGCTAGTAGTTAAGTATTGGAAGACTGAAATTAATTGAGACTAACTCAAAAAGAATGGACATACATCTCGATATTGTTTTCTGTGTCTATGTTATCTCGTGATACCTTCTAATAAAATTTGGACGAATAAAATTACTTTTCTAGGCACGAATAAGTTTAAAAGCCAAACTTAAAGTCCATGAGATTTTTAGTTTTGAGCATAATAAAAAAGGCCGAAGGAAGAGACTTTTGAGGAGGGTAGTGAACGGTTGTATTCTACTTTTTTCTACGTCCAAGAGTGGCATGTAAGGTATGTTGTTTTAATCACGCATCTCTCTTTTTTAATTCGATTTGATGAATATAGACGAGCGCAAAACATCCCTCTAATTCTGTCTGACTAATTCATAAGAGAGTATGGTTCTGTAAGAAAGCAAAAACCAGAAAATTGAATGTTAATGTGAACAATCTTCCTCGTGTGAATGGATAAAATAATGGCAGCCATTTCTTTTGTTGTTATTAGGCAACAGCTACTCTTCACCTTCCCCTTTTTTCAATTTTTCATCATGCAGTCCCTTCACTTTATAAAGTACTTTGCGATTACTGTGATATGTCGTGTGTTCGACTAAACAATGTGAAAAGGGTAAATTTTAGCTGTCCCTTCTACATAAAACGACAAAGTCACATAATTATGGAGAATCACATCTAAGAACAATTTCTCAAAAATTCTCTCGTACTCGAACTATCTACTTATAATTGTATTACTATTGTTTGAAAATACAAGTTAGTTTCATTTGGATGCTGATATTCGAGTAGGACTAGCAATAAATCACATGCAATGGTGAGAAATGATTCACATCCAAAATCTCCAAGGACAGTGCATAAAGACAGGTCGAAACAAGCCATTACACCTGTCACACTTGTATGCGATACAATCACTTATTTTTCACAAAATCAACAGTAGAATTTATCACAAGATAAATAGATAGAAAATGGTCCAACGTTGAGCTGTCAACAATTCATAGGATGTCAAACGTTGTACTGTACATAAGACAGGGTTTGACAAAGACTTCATAAGTAAACCTACAATATAAGTAATAACATATTTCCTCAAGTAAAACAAAATCTTTTCTTAGTTTGGAAACTTACCGCAAGTAATGGAAGCACCAGAAGAAAATGAAGCTGCCCACATGAAAAATCTCCCAAAAAAGAATAGAAAAAATGCTAAGAGGTTTAGTGATGTGCAAATAAAGTCATTAGAATCCAGTTTCAAGCTAGACAGCAAGCTTGAACCAAGTAAGAAGCTACAAATAGCTAGAGATCTTGGGCTGCAGCCGCGCCAAGTAGCTATTTGGTTTCAGAACAGAAGGGCGAGATGGAAGTCGAAGCAAATCGAGCAAGATTATAAAGTGCTTAAAGCCAATTATGATGATTTATACGCGCAATCCGAGTTTTTGATGAGGGAAAAACGGTCTTTGCAAATGCAGGTATCTTATGATTTTGCTTTCTCCTTATTCCAACTAGTTCTCTTTCAAGTCATTTGTCAAACTCCTAGTGTACATGCAAGCCACAACCAAGTTAGAATATCCCAATCTTAATAATGGATTCTATTGGTTTTGCATGACTAACCACTTCATCTAAAAGTTTTAAGTTTTTAAAAAAGTACCATGCGTATTAATTAAATATTGTCATCAACGTACCATACCGCACAAATCGGATTCAAAGTTAAGAGTAAAAATCTGGCACGTACACAAGTTTTATAAATGAGCGACGACATAATTTGAACCACATGTTCTTAACATTTCATCTGAAAGTAATACGTATTCATTTAAATCTTATCTTTAACACAGTTAGAGGAACTAAAGAATCTACTAAAGAACCCTCTTGATGAAAATGCCGAATGCAAAGAAATACCGGGTTGCCTGAATTCTGAAGGAGTGAACCGCAATGGAGTTATACATGCAGGTGATGAGGAAAAAATCAGCAACTATTTTGGGCTGGAAGAAGAAGAAGAAGACAATTCACCATTGGGATCACCTCAAACATGGTGCAATCTTTGCTCAGATGCCCTCTTTAATGAGTCATGTGACAACTCCAATTGGTGGGAGACTGTGTAATATACATACACACGCTTTCAATTTAGGACTTTTCAAGGATTGTACATTGATGAAAGTTCTTCTTTTGAGAGAGTCTTGCTTGCTTGATTCATGATTTATGTTTCGTCTTTTTTTTTTGCCTTCATCGATTGACATGAATGATCATGTTTGTGTGAACTAAGAAAATGTGCGTAAAGCTCCACTTGAAAATTTTATTTACTACGAAACAAATATATTTCTAGCGAAAGTTTGATTTTAAAAGATTGTGAAAAATCAAATATTGCCTATTGAAATTTTAATTAAATCAATTTTACAAAAAAATTATAAAGATAAGTAAATAAATGAATGCATCCTCAACTAGAGTGATCAACTTAAAGCATTGTTCTAAAAAGTTTGCCTGTGAAGTTCAGCCTTCCCATCTAGTGTCATTTTTCATTTTTTTACTTCAAAACCTCACCTAGGTGTCTATTCACAATTTTATAAGCTTTTATTCAAATTAATTTTTATCAATAAAGCTCCATTTTCTTTTTATTTATTACCTTAAATAAATACAAATTCTCTTACCCATCCATTGATCAAGCTGGTATTATATCATCAATTTAACTAATGCTGGACGAATCATTTAGGCCCAGTAGTCATTAACTTCTTGTAATGGATTATACAATGGTAAATTGATGGAGAATATGTGGTTAAAAAGTAAGGAAATTTTATTAGTTTGTGTGTAGAGTATTTTTGGCCCCGTTTGATACATAACGTTTTCTATGGAAAAATTTTTCTCTCTCACACGTGCACATTTTCCACCTTTTTGTTGAAATTATTTTCCCACCTTTTAGGTGGGTTTTCATTTTCCAGCTCTTTTTTTCTTTGGGTAATTGGGAAAAATTCTAGACCTAATGGTAAAAAAAATTATCACTTTTATTGACAATTTTCATGCAAAACAAAGCTAAACGAATGATATTCTGTGTAGTAATTTTTTTTTTCTTTTTGGCAAGTGAAACAAATTCTAGACCCAATGGTAAAAGAAATTATCACTTTAATTGACAATCTTCATGAAAACAAAGTCAAACGGATACCAAATTTTGAACAGTTTTCAAGTGAAAAATTATACTAATCAAGCACAATTAATTACAATTTCCAATAAAACAACTTCTATGCAATTTAATTATTTAGAATTCATTTTCTTTCCACCCATTTTTCACATTTACTATCAAACATACTGTTATTTTGCAAATGTACGGTGGAGAATAGTAGTTCATCATTCATCAAACAATTTTAAGGGTGGCAAAGGCAAAGTAAATTATTCCTGGATAACATTAACAACACACAAACAATCCAATGCATTCACCTTACACGAAAGGAGAAAGAATAAGAAACGCCCAGCATCAGCAATGACCCTCTCTGCGTCAATTTCAGCAGCCACTGCATACATAAGCTGTTTTTCCTCTTCCAATAAGTCTACCGTTTCTTCCCCGCCATTGTTAAAGAATCTGAGATTCCCGCGTTTCTGGCCCTAGCAAAAGGTAATGCCCCCCACCTCCGAGAAAAATGAGAATTACTCGTGCGTTTGATATGATTGATTAGTACTACTGACTCGTATTTTTGAAACCCATATGATTAAATCCCTTACAGTTGAGCGGATTTAGTTTTTGGATCTTATGTTAATATCTGATTTTATCTTTAGACCTATAATGTGTTGTAATGAGCTTAGTTTGTGGGTTTGTAGGGAGTTTGACTCCTTCCCATACAATCCAGTTTACCGGTGTTAATTTAACTTTGTAATTTCGTAAATTGCACACTTGGAACAGGAGTTATATTGTAGTTCACGAGTTCTTGTATTGCGAGTGTAGACTTAAATATGATTATCAGGTGAAGATGGGTCCATTGAGTGAATCTCCAACGGGATTTGGGACGTGGGCATGGGGTAATCAGCTTTTGTGGGATTATCAAGAATCTATTGACAGTGAGCTTCAGGAGGTTTTTAATAATGCGTTTGAGAATGGGATTAATCTATCTATTTGACGTCGGCGATTCTTATGAAACTGGAAAGTTGAATGGACAAAGCGAGAAGCTTCTTGGGAAATTCATCCACTAGTTTGAAGGTTGATATTTGCTTTTTCTGATATGTAGTGTTGAGCTATATTGGTAATCAATATTTCCTATCTTACTTAAATCAGTGATCAAATTCACACAGCCATGTTCTGTTTTGAAAAGAAAATCTTATAGATGGTTGAATTATGTAAATTGCGGTTTGAGTTTCCATTTTTATTTATTTTCACGTTGCTATATATTATTTACTTTTAAATATGAAAGTTTTACCAATTCAGATCACCTTGTGCTTTGAGGGGGTTAACAAATGAATTTTAGCCATCGTATAGTACACATGATGGATTATTTGCTTCCCAACTAGTTTAAAATTCAAGTTTCCTATAGGGATCCAAGTTAATTTAAATTTCAAGATGAATATATTTGTTCAATATTTTTTTTGCTGAATAAACACTTAGCTATTTGCATTATCAGGAAATAAGCAGGTGCAGGATAACATTGTTATCGCAGCAAAATTTGCTGCATACCCATGGTGCTGACACCTGGTCAATTTGTGAGTGCTTGCAAGTATGCACTATCTTCAAATCTCTCTTCATCTATTTGTTATAGCTGTATTTTTCAAATAATAATTCACTTTAAGAAAAATAAATGAAACTTTTAATCATCCAATAGAGAATAAACCCAATGGATTGTTTCAAAGCATGTACAAGTTCTCGATTTTTATTTTTCTTGTATCTGTTGCAGCAAGTTGATGGAATGTGGAATAGAATGCCTTGAAATAATAAAATGAATTTTATTAGCTTTGGCTATTCCCTTAAGTGGATAAATCTTGATGCAGAATAATGTTTCAGGTCTTCATTGGATTGGATGCAAGTTGAACAAATAAGAATAGGAAAATTACACTGGTCAACTGCAAATTATGCTTCTCTGCAGGAGCGAGCTCTTTGGGATAGTTTAGTGGCAATGTATGATAAGATTACAATGAACTTATTGCATATATTTGTCCAATGAAAATCTCGATGAATACTAGCAAAAATATATTGCCTCTTCTTCTATCATTCCACTGTTTTTGTTGTGGATATTTCTCGTCATTATTTTCTCTTGACTTTTTCCTATAAACTACTAAAATTCAACTTTTTTCACTTCTTTATGGAAGAAGTCAATTTTACCCTCACATCATTATATTCAAACTGATGTTCAAATGATGGATATCTTGGGAAACAGGGTTTGGTTTGAGCAGTTGGTGTGAGCAATTATTGGCCAAAGCAGCTACTGAAAATACGTGATTACCTTAGAGCCCAAAGAAGTGCCATTGCGCCGGCTCAGGTGAATGTTATGTTCCATCTTTCCAATGAACTTAAATTTACTTCTGTCAGGCAACAGGGTAAAGTACTTGTATTAGTTTATATTTCCGGCAGTGCACGTGTCTTTTTGTGCATAATAAGTGATTAGTCGCTTTGAGATGAGTAATTAAGATGGGAAATTGACTCCTTGGAAATCACTGCATGGTGTATCTTTAAAGAAACTATTAAGTATTTTTTCAGTTTTTTTATGGTAGGTGGTGGAAATGAAGTTTATCAAGAAACAGCACCACCCCTAAGACTTGTCAATTGAAATGTTCCTTTTGGTATTTGTTACTATAGTGAATGTACCACTGAGAAGTTGACAATCCAAATCATTTTCCCAATGTATTCCCACCATTTATTGCTTACGAGGATATATGCTGAAACGAAATACAAAGTTTTTTACAAAATAGCTTTTTAAGAAAGATTGTTGCGCATTCCATTTACTTTACCAGTAATTTACTATCACTAATATTACTTCATCAGCATTTTTAAGATACTACAATTTTTTATTGGTTAAAAATACATTGCATAATTTAAAGTTCCTTAAAACCATTTATTTTTTTGAATGAAAAGAATCCTATCCTCTATTACCAAATTTTCAGATTGCTTTCTCATACCCCTTGTACAAACCATTGCGACCACATGTCGGGTGCAATTTTTTACACATTTTAATTGATATTTCTGATTTGGGATGTCAGTCTCATGTCACTCAATACATCTATAATAGGTGAGTATGGAAAAAGATCAGATGGAGATCAAAAATATATGTGACTCTCTGGGAATTCATTTCATTTTGTATAGTCCTTTGGGACTTGGCATGCTTACCAGAAAATATAGTCCTTCCAATCTGCCTAGTGGACCTCGGCAAATATGCATTTTTGTTTTACATCTTTCCACCTTTTCAAATGTTTGAACAATTCTAAATTTAATTTTATGCTTCTCATTGCATATGATGCTGTAATTTACTAATTTTATAGGGGTCTTCTATTTAGACAAATTTTACCAGGACTGGAGCCTCTACTGAATTCACTTATAAAAAAAATCTCGCAAAACCATACCTCGGGTATTCCATTTTTAACTTTCTTTTGGACTTCTTTCTAGAATTTATGTTATTATTGACTTTTCCAGACATACCACTCGTGAATCTTTAATCCCCATGTTCGTCATGCTATGAATATAGGTAGGCAAATTACGTCATTTATTTTGACGGGGAACGTTCATCTGATATAATTCACTAACACTTTGTTGAAATATCATAGTATTTCATATATTTATGCGGTCTTTTTCTCACACATTGTGGAGCAATATTATTGCTCGGTGGTGTACTTTGCATGGAAAATAAGCCCCTCAAAAAAGGGTTTTGTTAATTGTTATAAATTTTATTGGCAATCACATGCAATACGAAAGATAGTGCTGGTTCCATCTTTGGCTACCAGTCTCTAGGACTCACTAATATTTTTTTTGTTGTATTTTCATTGGAAAACGAGTAATATGCCCCCTCCTAAATGTTTGTAATTTGTTTTTATTCCTTTCAGTATTATTGAATGCTCTGTCCTTGTGGTGGTTTAAATAAATATACATAAATTTAAAACAAAAAAATGTTGAAGGTTTCTTCTCACAGTTAGTTCATATAATTTAAGATTCTGTTGGCAGGTTGCGATTCACTGGTGCATCTGCAAAGGTACTATTCCAATTCTTGTAGTTAAATCAGTCAAACAGGCTGAAGAAAATTTAGGTGCCCTTGGTTGGCAACTCAATTCAGACAAGTTACTTCAATTAGAAAATGAAGCACTTGAATCTCCGTGACAAATGATTCAAAAACATTTTTCAGACAAGGTAAATATGCTCTATTTTTCTGTCGTCTAATATTTTTCATCGCAGAACTATTTAGAATGTCGAATGTTTATCTTCTTTTGATTGATATCTTTTACTAAAATTGCTAATGCAATAAAATTTGGCAACCTGTATACATTACGTGTTACAACTACATTGCATATGACTCACCCTTAAAACCAGATTGTAAGGAGAGGGTACTCAAGTGATTATTAGTCCACCAGTCAAACCTTAACTTAAAGATGTGAGGGGCAATTAGTTTGTGCTTGGCGCGTGATACTCTACAATGCACCTTTCCAAACAAGTCTTTAGAGTCGTTACTTTTCATCCCTAATTTCAGAAAGGATGTCCACGCTGACAGCGACCCATATTTTTTAGTTAGGTGCGATGTGGGCCGCAATAGTCATTACATTGTGTTAAAGGTTAAGGTTAAGTTGTCTTTGTTAAGAGAAATTTACCATAAAAATTGTCCGTTTTGCTTTCCGACAACAGTTAAACATTTGGAGTGGAGGCACACACTTTTATCAACTTAGAAAGGGGCCAGGATTTACGTTTAATGCATGCCCAATTTATCTGTTCTTGTCGAGGCAGCAGGTGTAATGTTCCATCAGAGTGGGAAGAAAACTAACAGATTGAAGACTTGACTGCCAAGGAATACTGGCTTTTAAGAATCGACAATTGCCAACTGATGCTATACTAGAAAATCGAAGACACGAGAAAAAATTCTAGGTTATCTGATGCTCATTCATAGGTGAAATTCGTCTGTCCACTTACAAATGATTGTAAATATGCCATTCCTTGTAAATGAGCACGCATGCATAATTTGAGAGCTGAAGCATTTCGTCAATTGCTAGCCCTTTCTCATCTCTGTGTGTTCGTGCAAGTGTTTACTTTGTATGTACCATTTACATACCGTGTTTGGCCGAGTCTACTAGTTAGAAAACAAGTTTGTTACATCTCTTTGTTTTGCTAATGATGTTTAGGCTGTCTCATCAATTGTCCTAAACTATAATTCAGCGTCGGTAAACAATTTATTGCCCGAGTTTCAAGTTCTCGTTCCACTTATTTCTTTTCTGATTGTCGTTTTCAATTTATCAATTTTGTAATGATAATATTGTCGATGAGATGTTCATATGGGACTTGGGAGTGTTAAAATGGGTAGGGCGGCCTAAATCGACGTGCTTGCAGCAAGGCCTGAACTGGCCCGACTATCCACCAATATTGCCAGTCTACTTGCTTTTATAGTTGAAAGTCACAAGTCACAACTTATGTTCTCTTTTCCTAGGGACTTTTTAATTTTCTAAAAAGTTGAGCATGCCCTCTAGAAGATCATTTTTGAACTGACGTGTATTAGATTGAACTAATTTTAATTAGGTATTTTAAGATGTTAAATCGTATCGAAGATGAATTCTTGTTAGTTTAGATATTTCTAATTCGTAATAGAGGTGGCAATTGATCAAGCTAAGCTAGCTTGACCCATGGTCACATGGGCACCCAATTGGGTAAGACCAGCTCGACCCATTGGTCATCGAGTCAAGTTATTGTCAATTTGTTGACCAAGAGGTCATGGCTCTGTACATTACAGGAGACAGCTATTGGGCCCATATGGTCTTGTATTTACGATACTTGATGTACAATGATTTTGATAATATCGTGGACAATTTAAATCATAATTCATCATTTCAGCAAATACTTTTTTGTCATAATCAGCATTGTTAATCTGTATTGTCAACAATATTGTACAAATAGTTTAATTCGATAGAATTCTTCTTTCTTTCAGGATTTTTTTAATTTCGATTTTGATGCTTCGGCCAGCACCTTCGTCGTCTGCCACGCCACTGCCCCGAACCCCCAACTCATACACGTTCGTGGTGGCCCCTAACTCATTCTACGTATTTCCACATGGCCTCTTCTTTTCCTGCTCTCTCACTAGCCACACTCCAAAATTTCTCTCCCCCTTACAATCGATCGGTGCCCTACATAACGTTGACTTCCCACACTGTTACTGCAAAATCGCTCTTCAGCTCCCTGAAACCGAACATCGATTTGAGGAAATTTAAGTGCACAACAAAAGCATCAATGGCCGAGACTGTCACTCTAAATAGCAAACCCAAGGTACAAGTGTTTGATTCCGAGGAGGATCTGGCGGTGTCGCTTGCTAAATACACTGCCGATTTGGCAAATAAGTTTGCTCAACTGAGAGATTCTTTCACCGTTGTTTTGTCCGGTGGTTCTCTTGTCAAGTCTCTCAGGTAAAAAGATGAATTGCTAATATATATTTTTTTCTTCTGTTGCACATATAATTTACATGGAAATATTTTTATGCTTGGTGTTGCGATTGAAGGAAATTGGTGGAGCCACCGTATGTTGATTCAGTGGATTGGTCGAAATGGCATGTGTTTTGGGTGGATGAGAGAGTGGTTCCAAAGGATCACCCTGACAGCAATTATCTCCTTGCATATGATGGGTTTTTATCTAAGGTATTCTTGAATTACATATTTAAGTTGTTGAACTGTTTCGAGTATTACTTTGTACTGAAAGATTCAGCCTTGTCAAGAATTTCTTAAGAAGAGACTTGATTCAAACAATGGTAAGTTGAAAAATGAAATCTTTAATTTGGTGTATGTTAATTACGATGTGTCGGATTTGAGATAGGATGATCGGAGTTGTAGTCCTGTAGGCATGTAATTTCAAGAATAAGGATTCACTTATTTGTGCTGTTAAATTCTTAAAATCAAGAAGCTTCAAATTGGAAAAGTTCTATTTTTTCTTCTTCTGAAGAGTTATTTCCCTTTTTTAATTGATTGAACATGAAAACAATCAATGCCGTTCCTATGGTCTAAATTGCGATATAGTGGTTCAACAGCATAAATCTTCACGGAGTTGTAAGCATTAATCTTATTGAGCACGTATTGATTCTTTTCAAAAATTCTGGTCGAATATTGGGCACTGAACATTGGGTGAATTCAAAGATATTATATATACATTAACATTAATGCACTAAAGTTGAGGTTCTATTGGTGAAAATTTTGGGCTACAAAAAAATTAATTACTTTCCTTGCTCATCAACGGTTTAATACATTATTGCCTTTCTTTCGCTTAATTTTACCTTTCGGTTCCATGGGCCATGTACATCTTCCCTTCCATATTGTTTAGTCAGCACAATTTGTTCTGCTTTCATAGATGTATAATTGTCTTGCTGGTCTGAAATGGAGTACAAGTAGGATCTTGCTCTTAGTTAGAAAATCAGCAGTAGTTAATGAAATGTTTAACTCTTCACTGTGTTACAAGTAGCTAGTTCTATTTTCAGCTCCAGAGTTTGACTCATTCCATTTCTTGATGAGACCAAGTTATTGATGTTTTGAAAGGTGATTTCTCTTATGTCAAAGAATTGGAGTCATTAAGTTATTGATACGCATGGGTGAGGCATTGGTGCTGCATAGCATATTATGAGTGTAGATGAGTACTTCAAAACATATATTCGTAGGTGGGAATACTGAATTATGACAATACATTGAAACATAAAACTACATTTTTTTTTGTCTATTTCCACTTGTAGGTACCAATTCCTGCTGGTAATGTATATGCTATAAATGATGCACTATCAGCCGAGGGTGCAGCAGATGATTATGAGACCTGTCTCAAGCATTTGGTCAAAAATAAAATAATAGATCAATCTGACAGCAGTGGGTTCCCGAAATTTGATCTTATGCTACTGGGTATGGGCCCCTATGGGCACGTGGCTTCTTTATTTCCTGGACATCCACTTTGTCAGGAAAATGAGAAGTGGGTTACATTCATTAAGAACTCGCCAAAACCCCCTCCAGAAAGGATTTCTTTCACCTTTCCAGTTATCAATTCCTCAGCAAATATAGCACTTGTTGTAGCCGGAGATGGTAAAGCTGACGTAGTGCATGCAGCACTTGGTGATGGTTCAAATTCTGACAAGTTGCCTGTGCAAATGGTTTCGCCAGAAGGGGAATTGACATGGTTTTTGGACAAGGGAGCAGCTTCAAAACTGCATGCCTGAAGTTAGTTTTTCAGTAATCAGTTAACGAAGTTTGTTTTGTGTCGACTGAGATGTTAAGTTATTGTGTAACGTACTTGACGATTTTGAAATTGTCTAATAATAGTTTTGTGGAGTGAGGTTTCTTCCTCTGTACTTGCTGCAAAGGACAAGGGAAGTTCAAATTATTATGTTAAGTTTTAATCCTACTCTCGTCTCTTAGCTTTCTGACTAAGTTGAGCTTACTCTATGATGCCTGGAGGAATTCAGGACTCATCAGCCCAACTAGGCTGGTACGAGATCAAGAAAAGGGAGTTTCTTGATCACTTGACTCAAACCTGCAGTCATAATCATATCCAATAAAATATGTAGGTACTTATGGCAGTTAATTTCTGTTCTACTGTTTCTAGTGATAATCTCGGTCAAAACAGTGTAAGACTACATTTGTGATTATGCTGCTGTCTATTGATCCCTCAATGACTTGAATTTTGTTTCGGCCTCTTTTGTTAGTGGATTCCTGGAACTTGATTTGTAGCAAAATAATAGCCTTTTATGTTTTCCCCTTTCTGATATCAGTAATAAATTTGTTTGAGATCAAAATCTTATGTTTGAGATTCATTTTATGTTGCAAAGATTCTACATTTCAAAAAATGAGTGGCTGATAAGTGGGTAGTATTTGTAAGTCACTTCGATATAATTTTAGGAGAAGAAAATGAAACCCAAAAGGTAATGCAGTGGAGTTTGTTATTTGTAGAAAAACACTAAATAGTCTAGAAATCATATGCATGGCTTGTATCTTCGAAGAATTGCCTAAATATGGTTCTAAACTACTTCCTAAGAAGTACATATAAGTACATATGATACTTGAGATTATCTAGTCGTTAGTATTCGGTAAAATGAACTCGAATAAAGAAACTTTAAATCATTTAAATGAATCTTATTTTCTTCAGTTCTTCATTTGTTGAGAATAAGAGTCGAGCATGTTTGATGCACTGGACTGGATGAGACATACCAAACAATGATTTAAAAGTTGGAATATTATTGAGCTTCTTTGACTTGACTAATCTTTTGGAACACTTCAATTATTGCATATGTATTAGTGTTTGTCAGTGTGTGATCTCCTTTATCTTCTGTCTTACCTTGATTGAGGACAAGTGGATGAATTAATTAGTGGTTATGATGTGGTTCTTTAATGAATATTAGACATGCCATATGAAAGAACAATGACATCATAACATTCCCACACTAAAATGGGATTACATTTTTTAGACATTAAGCAGTTGATCCACCTGATTTAATGTCATTATTGATGTTTGTGAGGTTAAATTGCATGAATAATCAGTAAATTTTACAATTTAATATTGTAACTAGAATTGAGTCGAATAACATATAATATTTATTCTTATTTTTATTTTGTATACAATTAAAAATAAAGTAGTTAAGTCGGGTTGAACTCAAGTATATCGTATTTTTAAATTTTATTTTTTAAATGGAAGTGTCATCTAACTAGTGGTGATTACTTTTTTTGCTTTGTCTTATCATAAGTAAGAACTAGGCCCGGCCAGAATATTGTGCGCAAAAGCCAGAAAGAAAGTAAAGTAATTATTTTTAATTTAACATGGGTTTCTAGCACTTTTTGTGCTTTCAAGAATCATCCAAACAAAAAGTAGGGAAGTTTCACTTTCAATTACCAAAGCAAACACCATTAACAGTTTTTTATTTCTACACCGAAAATCATGATCTAGCCATTTAGGTCAACAAAATCAGGCGCGGCATTTGTATATACACAAAAGATGATGATGGAATTATTTATAAGGAAGCCAAATTGTTCTTCTACTCAAGGTAAGACAGCTAACTTGTTGATGTGATAGGAGAATTTTACTTACGATTTTCTGTCAAATGTGAGTACTGTAAGTCAAGTTTTCTCCCAATGAACGAAATAAGACTTCTGACGGTGAATATGAGAAAATTTATGTACAAGTAAGATATGCCCAATAACATCATGTATATTATGTGAAAGATTCAATACACTTTATTAAATAATAAATAAATACATCAATTATAATCTTCTATTTTTTTATTGAAATGCTTTTTATCTAAAACGGGTATTGACAAAAGTCTTATTCAGATGATGTTTGGTTGAAATTAAAATCGGATTAAAATTAAAAAATGAACCCTTATTGTTGACTTTTATTAGACGAGTGAGACCCAATAACAACTATATTTTCAATTTTAAGCTTTTCCAAACAAGTTCTCAGTATAGAAAAAACAAGAGATAATATCATATATACTTCCTAGGTTTTATAACAATATCGAAGAACTCCTTCAACTTTTTGAAATATTACTTATCTCCCGTATTTCTATTTTTAAGTATGTCATACATCTTTTCCACTTTTTTTAGTCACATATCGTCCAAATACATAAAATGAATTGTAAAGAAAACAATAAATTTTTTATCAGTTAGTTGTAGTTAAGTGAAGTATAAGAATATAAATTGATATGTTATTTAACAGAACTCGTTTGACAAAAATTAAATTTTAATCATATATTTATATAATTTTTATTTTAACAAAATAGTTAAGCAAGTATAATTGAATATCAAATGATCCAAATGTGTATTATTAGTTTGCAATATCAATTAATAATAATTTTTGAAGGTGTATAACGTTTTAATAAATTAACGTTATGAATTCTTTAGCAAAATTTTACTTGGTTTGTAAGAAGTACATATTTATATTTAGAGTAATGTTATTCATCCTCACTGGGGATGAAAACACAGTCTACATGGCGTTAGTAGATATTAAATGATATATGTCATTTAATTTCACCTTTCATTTAACCTATCATTTAAAATCACCTAAACTGTGTTTTCATCCCTAGTGGAGATGAATAACATTACTCTTATATTTATGATCTTGTTTTAGTTTATAACTTCATAATTATCAATTATTAATAAGTTTGCATTAATAATTTTAATTTTATGTAAAATTAATTTTAAAAACTTTTATTCATTAACTACCAAGTTCTTCACCAAATTTTAAGTTTATTCACTAGCGTGCATATTCAAGATTATATATGTACAAAATCTTTAAGTACTAAATTATTAATAAAATGAACAAATTAAATTCAACAACATTTTTGATATATCAACCTTGTTTTAGATGATATGCAGTTTAGAAAATAATATGTTGTAATACTCAAACTTAGAAGTTCGAGAGTTAGTGACACTGTTGAAAGGTGAGAGGGCGTCAATAATATTTTCACGAAGCTTGGGGTGTTTCTGATATTATCTTGAAGTTCAAATATACATAATGGAGGAGATATGTCCTAATCAAACGTACACGTTTAGTCGTTTGGTAGGTAAAATTAGACAATATTAAAAAGAATAAAATTAATTAGCTATAATTTTCAACTATTGTGACAATTATTTAAAATTCATAAATTTTGCATAAAATATATATATATATATATATTACTATGTTTTCGTCACTCAATGCTTGCTTCAATATCAAGTAAAAACGTGATTAAGAAGCAAAATATGAAATGATTTTGTCTAGAAAATAATTGCACATTAATTATGAGGTAGTGAAGTTTTCACACACAAAAATAATACATTTCAAAATATTTATATTAAAACCCACTTTTAATGGGCAAAAAATTGAAATAGAGATCATTACTGAATTCATGATTTTTGTTAAAATGCAGCTACCGATTTTTATATTTTTATATTCACCGTACAAAAAAAAAAAGAAGAAGAAAAAGAAAAAGAAATTTAAAATCTCATAAGCAGTATCGATGAGAATATGTTGGACTAGAACTTTATGAATTTAAATTTTATGTCTCAACTTCCGAACAGGTCATCGAACATTAATTATCAATTAAATACTTTTTATTCATTTAGAAAATGATGAGTGTCGTATTGATAAAAATTCGCAACTAAAATAAAAGCCCAGTGACACGAATGAAACGATGTTTCGAAAATTTAATCAAAACCAAAGGGGTATTTTGTCAAAAATCTCCCTTACAAATATCGGCGCAGCGAAACCTCGAGTCTTCGTCGAGTCAGTTAACTCTCTCTCAATGTATCTCTCTGTAAAAGTCTAGAGAGAGAGAACATCTAAATCCACAACACTTCTCAGTTAGCAAGAAAGAGACAAAGAAAATGACTAGTGAATGACGAAACAAAGTAAAGTAGCATAGTGGAGAAAAAAGAAAAGGACAGACAAAGCAATAAAGCAGTTGGTTTTCAGTTGGTTAAATCAAATGGAATGATGGAAAACACAATCCAATCCAAGGGGTAATTTTATCATTTTTTAGCTCCGTCTATGCGCTCCGGTAGTGGTGGTGCCGTTCCTGATGTGGTTGTTGGAATAACTCTCGACGGCGTTGCCTTGGCCGCGTGTGATGCCTTGGCCGCCGGTTTATTGTGCGGTCCTACCTGAACAAACCCTAGGAGGTACAGTGAAGTGAATTATTTATTTAAGAAATAGTTGTTGGAAAAATAACAAGTTTTTTAGATGAAAGCTCTAAAACGAAGTCAAACTTCGTCGAAATCTACTTCGCCTTCGTCGTCGTCTTCAAATGCGTCGTCGTCTTCACCATCTTCGTCCTGGATTTATTTGAGATCGGTTTTATTTGTAGTAGCTTCATCCTCACCAGCTTCGTGTTCTTCGTCTTTAACCGATCGGTGAGTCTCTTTATCTTTAAGCAAATAGTTTTAACTGTTTCTAGTTCAGATCTTGATCTTATACATCTTGTTAATTACTCCCTGAGCTCAATCCATTACATTAGTGCAGCTCAGATTTATTAAATCCGGTAAATATGTTAAATATTTCTGTATTTTTTTTTCGTCTTGTTTAGCTTCAATCAAAATTTTTTTTTTTTTTAAATATTTGTTTTTGTGGAGTGATTTCAATTTGACTAGGAAGCTGAGTTATAAACTAGTACTCAATTATATTTCCAGTCAAATATTGTTCGTGGACTTTGTTGGATTCATTTGTCTAGTTACTGTATTATTGTAGAATTTTTTATTCCACTAAATATTTCATATGTTCATATCAAGAACATACAATTGGTTAAATATCACGAAAGGAAAGTGTCGATCAGTTTTTTTTTTCCTGTTGGTCGAGAATTAGAAGCCGCGTCTGTTCAATTGGAAAGTAAAGAGTAGTGTATTTGCTAGAAGATTTAATTCTGAGGATTAAATTTGTAAAATGGAAGACTTCTACTTGGAAATTATAAGTTGAACTCCTCTTCCCAAGACTTGAGCTTTTTCAAATTTCCACACACTTGCCAGGAACAAGGAAATGGTTAAAAAGTTTTATTCTAAGTCAAGACATACAATTGGAACGATCGATGGCTTAAATACGGAGAAAATAAATCCTGTGAAAGCTTTTTATACTGACCTTGCCTCTATATGAAAGCAAGATTGTTCATAATTATTATATCTTTTTATGTCCAAACATTTTTACCCCCGTGTCTGTGTTGCTCTATATATGAAGTTAAAGATTGAAAGTGTTTTATATGGCTACTAGGACATCCTTGATTTTGGAAAATCCTGCCTCAACATGCTTCTTGTTGTGCTCTAGGTTAATGTTTTGTGGTCTTTATGACATTTTAACAGTCAAATGTCATATGGTACTAATTCTTTTTCGTCGTCTTTTGTTTGTGAAAAAATATTCTGTATATAATTGAAGCTATTTCTATTAGAAGGTTGTAGACCTATAGCCTTCAACATCAGCTTATAACATGACAAACTATTCTAAATGTTTTGATTGGCAACTTACATTCTTTTGTTGACACTGCTTTCTCATTCATCAAATGAAAAAATAGTACTATTTTCATTTCCAGGGGTCATCTTAAATCGCCATGGTCGCGCAGAAAAAGAAAACACATACTATCACCTCGTCACTGGAGAAATTTGTTTACATCAGATGGAAAACTTCGTGATGGTGGAGTGAAATTTCTGAAGAAAGTTCGCAGTGGAGTGAGTTGCCAATTCATTTGGTTCACAAGTTTTCACCATTTCGAAGGAAAAAAAATAAATTGAAAGCTTTTATTGTGCTTTATTTGCATTTAAATGAGATAAAATACTTGGCAATCCTTTTTGAATACGATTTTCGTGACTGCTATGTGTAGGGTGTTGATCCAAGCATCAAGGCAGAGGTTTGGCCATTTCTTCTTGGAGTGTAAGTTGATTCTCTTTTTGGACGGGATAGCAGCATGTCATTGCTGAGATTAATGATGTAACCTGATCTTTTTGGAAATGTCCTTAACTAGCTAATTTTCCTTTTTTTTAATTTGGCCATAAAGGGTTAATTTGGTTCAATAATGAGCATCTTTTCAAAATGTCAGTATTATTGTATTTTTTTAAATATCTTAACTTTGACTTATTTTTCGTTATGACGTCTTATTTTAGTGGTTATGAGTGTAAGGTAATGTATGGAGGCCTTCACATCTTTTACACATTAAAAACTGAAGAGAAAAGAAAAGAAGGATTGGGAAGCATCTCTACTTCCTGATCCTGCAATTTTTTAAATCAATCTACCCTTGTCTTACTGTTTCTATGGTGTAACTAAAGAGAATTTAGTTGGCAAAATCTCTCTCTGCATTGATTCTGATTATATTTCTTTCTGCAGCTATGACCTATCCAGTACCAAAGAAGAAAGAGATGTTATTAAAACTCAGAAAAGGTTAGTCAACCTTAAGTTTTCTGTTATATTAATTTATGAATCTTTATTTTTCCTGTGGCAGATTAGTTGATATTGGTGTTTTAAGTATATTTTGTTTTCACTTCCTTTTGTCATTCAATTGATGGATACAGGAAGGAATATGAGAAAATACGAAGAAACTGTCGCCGTCTTCTCAAACATAATAATAATCTCTTCAAGTTAAATGAAACTGGTGAAGCAAGCAATGGTGACAGTGGAAGTCTCATTGAAGGCAGTGGTTCCCCCAACTCTGAAGATGTCGTGAGCGCCAGAGAATCCCTTTCTAGTGAGGAAAGGTTTCCTTATGATGAGGACTTGGATCATCCTAGTAACACAATGATGGATGGATGTGCTGGTTCTAAACGAGCAACGGATTCAAATGTCATCACATTCTCGGATTCATCGTACTCAGACTCCTCCGAAGATCCTGATGCAAGTCAAACTTTTAACTTCGCAGAAAATGGGGAGGAGAATGATCGTGATATTCCCTTGATGGATGATTCTTCTCCCTCAAAGATGGAAGTCCAGTCAGAACCTCGTAGTGCAGAAGATTTTGCCACCTGGCAGCGAATCATCCGGCTTGATGCTGTCCGTGCTAGTGGAGAATGGATAGCGTACTCCCCAGTTCAGGCTGCAGTGTCAGAAGGAAAAGCACGTCGTTCTGCTGAGGTTGTTGGATTGAAGGATTATGATCACCTTGAGCCCTGTAGGATCTTCCATGCTACCCGTTTAGTTGCCATTCTTGAAGCCTATGCAGTTTATGACCCTGAAATTGGCTATTGTCAGGGAATGAGCGATCTACTTTCCCCCATAATTACTGTTATGACAGAGGACCATGAAGCTTTCTGGTGTTTCGTAGGTTTCATGAAGAAGGCTCGTCATAATTTCAGGCTTGATGAAGGAGGAATCAGAAGACAACTCAGCATTGTTTCTAAAATTATCAAGTTTAAGGATTCACATCTTTTCAGACACTTGGAAAAACTCCAGGCAGAGGATTGCTTTTTCGTGTACAGAATGGTGGTGGTACTCTTCAGGCGGGAACTGACTTTTGAACAAACACTGTGTCTTTGGGAGATCATGTGGGCTGATCAGGCTGCTATTCGAGCTGGAATTGGTAAGTCAGCATGGAGCAGGATAAGGCAGCGAGCCCCACCAACAGACGATCTCTTGCTTTATGCAATTGCAGCCTCTGTATTGCAGAGGAGGAAACAAATTATCGAAAAGTATAATAGCATGGACGATATTTTAAGGGAGTGCAATGCAATGGCCGGGCATCTTGATGTATGGAAGCTTCTGGACGATGCACACAACTTGGTGGTAACCCTCCATGACAAGATCGAGACTCCTTTATGATGTGTGCGTGTTCACTTTGCTAATTTATTTACTCTGATTATCCCAGTTTTAACGTGTCAAAAGTATCCGGTAAGTCTCTTGGACTCAAATTTGAGACTCTTTGAGAAAAAAATCTTGTTGCCGGCTGCTTTAATTGGTCGAGTTTTATAAAGGGGAATTCTAACTTATATAAAACATCTTTGTTCTGATTACTTGATTTTTTTTTTGAGTTGAATGCAGTGGATGGTGAACTAAAATTGTTGATGCTGATATGGGAATTGACTCGTACCATATTAGGAGGATTTGGTCTAGGTTGTTTTGTCCTAATTGTTGTTTAAATAATGAAACAGATATAATTTTCTTCTTAAAGAAATGGGTGCTTGACTTGGTAAATACTTACATAGGTTTTGATTGCATTTGGATTGATGGATAGCCCAACAACTAACTGAACTTCAATGATGAAGAGGAAATTACATATAGGCCTGGAATTAGATATCCAATTTCACAAATCAGATCACAAGTTTAACATTTCTAAAATCAGGTTTTATATATTTAATTAAATATTAATTATATAATATCATCCCAATTAAAATAATCCAATCAAACCCTAAATTCATTCCATATATCCCGTCCATTTTCCCTCATTCACTCATTCCCGTCTCTCTGCCGTCAAGCTGCCACCGACGGTTTCTCCCTCTTGCCGGAGAAATAAGCGATCCTGCGTCTCTTCTCTCTGCCATCAAGTCCGCTGCTCTCTCAACTCTCATCTCATCTGCCTTCTATCTACTCAAAAGCCCCCGCCGCCGTCCAACGAAACCCTAAAAATATCAACTTCCTCTCCATTCTCTCAACTCCTCCCACCATATGTCGGCACCGCGGCGCTCACGACGCCGCCCTCATCAATTTGAAATAGGCTCGGCGCTGTGAATATGTGACGCTCACGATGCGACGGCGTAGCACTGCGGATCTGATTTTTCCTTTTTTATTTTTTTTAGTTCGAGTTTGATTTTTATTGGATGGGTGTGGTGGTTTTTGTGAACAGATCCGGCGGCGTTGGTGTGAAGGTCGTGTCTGCGTGCGCGTGTGGCGGTGGTGATTGTGTTTTTGGACTGTGTTTTCGGCTGTGGGTGGGGACTATGGTGTTTGGGTAGCGGCGGTTATGTCAGATTTGGTGATGCATCAGGCGCGGCGGCGCAGTGAAGGTGGTGGTGGGACGGCTTGGTGTAGTGGTGGAGGTGGTTGGTGGATCAGAGTGTTGCGAATATGTAATTTCTGTTTTTTTTTT